GGAGTAAGGAAAATTCAGATTATACTTGTCCTCTTTTTGCAAGAAGTGTGGTTTTTTCATAAATGGACAAACAGTCTTTTCCCATCCCTTTCAGGGGAGTCATGGCAATCAGGAAAATAACTATTCTAAGACATCCTTCCCCATTCTGGTTGGTCATGTGGATGGTCAAGAACAATCCTATTGGTGGAGAATGCCTGTCAATCATACTTCCATACTGGCCTGACTAGGATTAATAACAGTTGCATTAGAGAACACTTTTCTAGAGTGGGGGTAGAGCTGAAATAGGACTGAGTATCCCTCAACAGTATTCCTTATCTGTGGTATCTAAACTATAATAGAATTGATATGGGGTCCCAGGTGCTCCAGAACTTTCACATGGACTGTGAAGTTGCCATCAATGACCTAGTGAATATGGAGCTATGTGCCAACTATGTCTACCTTTCAGGGGTAAGCACTTGGGTCTTTTGATTCCTTTAAAGTTATAAGAGGTTGGAAGTTTAATATTTTAACCTTTCAGAAAACCAGCAAATATGTATTGAATGTCTGCTACTGAGAGGCTTGCTAAGTAGCCAAAGCTCACATACAAATTCTACAAAATATGTGCAATTCATATGTGTAGGTAAAACAAGTTTGTAGGTAAAGTCATATCTGGTTTATCTCTTTTCTTTCCACCTCTTTTTTCATAAACATTTAGCAAACTGTGTTCAACTTGAAATTCAACTGCCAGTTGTAAAATTACTGCCAGCAGCAAAAACTAACCCCAGCATATCTTGGGAGGATTTTCTTCCCATTTCTCCATAATAGAGCACCAAGCAAAGATGCTCATTTTGCAAATGTTATACTTTGTGGGGAGAGTCATAACTTTATCCAGACTCATAAGCATATCATTTTCTCTTGTATAGAAAGTAAAGTGGGAGAATTCGATTATATCTCTAAGGTCTCTTCTGCTCTATATTTCCTAACAGTTATGCTCCCAGTCAAGTAATGGTACTAAATATATAGAGGAGGAAAAGATAAGGATGAATTATCAACAGAAACAGAATTGTGATTTTCAAAGATTCATGACCCATAGGTCAGTCAGTCAATAAACATTTATTGAGAGCCTACTATGTATCAGACATTGTGCTAAGCAAGAACTTACTGGGTTATCAGATGAAGAGAATGATGCCGCAGTGCTGCACACTTATATGAGGAGCAGAATTGGTACAGGAGCTGAGGAAAATGTAAATCTTTTTTCTTTGAGAGAGGACACAAATGATTCCAGACTCTCTTCCAAACTCTGGAATGAAAGAAAAGATTTTGGGACATAAAGAAACTAGTTTCTCAACGTGTCTCTAATTCCCAACTTTGCTCTCTAGAGACTTTGAAGAATTTCCCTTAAGATGAGATTGGGGCCCTTACCTTCAATGAATTGAGCAATGTCACTTCCAGTGGGAAAGCTCATTCATTATGTATATTTTTTTAGTATAGGCAAATCAATATAACTTCTCTGATTTTTGTTTCGTATATGTTTGGAAAAAAATGGTTTACTTGTTATTCGCTATTTGTGATGGTCCTTTGTGTAAGAAGTATCTGGCAGGTCAAATCTTAAGCTTGGGGTACCACTTTCCTTTTTAAGGATTAGCAACCAGAAAAGCTGTTTGAGTCTAAAATAAAACTATTCTTTTAGATTACCAATTTTTGAGGGAGTTAGATATAATTGTGTCACCTTTACATGTTTCCCTCCTGGCAAGAATCAAAGTCTCCATTGGGGGTAGGGGTGGGCAAGATTCCTGAGATATCTATTAAAGCCTTCCTGTGAACCACACTTAAGTAAACTTATGTTTATCTAAATATACATGGTCATGCAGACAATATGGATGAGGCATGCATCATTCATAACGAAGGGATCAAATCCTGGTGATATCACAGAAAAGCTTTCAGAGCACTCAGTATCTTCTTTAGTGTATAGAGTAGAACTGTCAAAAAAACATTTTGATAAATTTTTTTAAAAAATCATTTTTAAAGTTCTAATAGGTTTAGTTCAATTCCTTTCATTGCTTTCCTTTGTGTGTATGCTTTTAAACCTGAGACAATCAACCCTCCTTTCAATTCTTTCAGTATAAGGTGTTTTAAAAAAATAATCACAGATATTCCTCTATTCCCAGGCTCAGGCTAAGAAAGACAGTCAAAAAGATTCTTTCTTGGATGGGATTGTTCTCTATCAACAATGTCCTTTTCCTGCTATGGCATACACAATTACATGCATAAATGCATACATGTAAATACATATACACACACATATATGTGGGCATTATGTGCAGTATACATATATACATATGTATATATAGATGCACATAGGCATGCATGTATACACCCTTACACATACTCTCACGTGCACATGTACATGTATACAAACATATATACATAAATATATATAAGCCAGTTCATACCAGATTATAAAAACTAATTATTAAAATTTTATTATGAGCATCTATACCTCAAAATTGACAAACACTATAAATCAGGATTTGATTTAAATTGTTTGATTAACTGTCTAGACTACAAAAGTGACAGAGAAAAAGTTAATAATGCAGATTTAACATGAAAATGTATCATAGATACTTTTTTTTGAGAGTCGGTTGTTAAATGTATATCAGTATATCACCGAATATGTGTGTATATATGTGTGTATATGCATACACGTATAGCAGTAATATGGGTGTACATGCATATATGCATGTATAATTGAATCCACATGGTATAGTGATAATAATAATTTAACATTTATATAGTGCCTACTATGTGCCAGTAACTGTGCTAAGTGCTCTATAAATATTATCTAGTTTGATCCTCTCAACAACCAGATGCCATCAGAAGTGAAACAACTTACCAAGGATCACACAGCTAGTAAGTGAGGACAGATCTGAACTCACATCTTCCTGACTCTCGGCTTGGCCTTCTACCCGCCGTGCCACCAACCTGCCCCTCACCCCCAAAGTACACAGATTGAAGAAAGGAATATGCATTTAAATAGTACCTACTATGTGCTAAGCATTTTTTCTTTTTCTTCTTTTTTTAGGCAATTGTGGTTAATTGACTTGCCCAGGGTCACACAGCTCGTAAGTGTCAAGTGTTTGGTCTGAGGTTGGATGTGAACTCAGGCCCTCCTGACTTCAGGGCCAGTGCTCTTTCCACTGTGCCACCTAGCTGCCCCTAAGCACTTTTTACAATATCATTTCTGGACAAAAACCTGTCCTTGAAGATACTGGCTCTGTGACGCTGGATGTATCTTGTAATTGCCCAGTGCTCTAGACAATTCTGAGTTATAAGTTTCAGAAAAGGAGATGACCTTCAATGACAGAGGGAGTTTCCTCACCTGGGATATCTGCATACAAATTAAATTACAGCTTCAGTTCATATCCCCATCTCTATAATACATATGTATATACATATATACATATATATGTATACTTTTCCATTCATTTATTTATGGGTACATGTGTATATCATATCCTTGCTGTAACATACAAATCCAAGTTTACTTGTTCTTAGTTGTGGTCTTTGACCTTTTGTTTCCTGACAATTAAAAAAGTAATTTTTTCATGGTTAACTATTACATAAACATTGATAAATAGCCATGACCTCAGTATCATGATAGCAATATATGTGCATACCTTTATTCTTATTTATAGTAAGAATACAATATATAATATAACAATATATAATTATATATGTAATATAATATAATATAAGCGAAGGAATGAGAAGGGGACTTTCAGCTGGGGCCATGACTTAGAAGCATTTAGGATAAGATCACCCATGTGCTGGAGTGATTAGATTACTCTCCTACTTCTGGCTCCAAGGTCTATCACTTCTTGAGCTTGGTTTAAATAGTAAAAGTGGGGAATTGAAAGGGCAGGGGCAGTTAGGGGGAATTACAACCAGAGTTAGAAAACAAAGAAGCAAAAGCAAAATATCATTGTTAAAATACTTTTGTTATAATGCTGGGCCTTTGTTGGAGAGTGAATATCAGATCACTAAAGGCGTCCAACAATTTCTCAACAGTAAACTAGCCCCTTTTCCTCCCTTTACTCAATTCTGGGTTTAGCTCATTGTTCATGAACAGTGTGCCCAATGCATATATACTGATAGATTAGTCTAGGGGTGGAGAACCTGCGACCTTGAGGTGGCCTCATGTGGCCTTGAAGTCACAGGTTCCCCACCCCTAGATTAGTCCATAGTTCTGCAAGAACTACATTTTGAATTCTGGGCAATAGGCAATTTTCACATATTTAGGGTTTTCCTCTATGGATAGTTAAGCCAAACTTTTTGTGTGATTGCAAATCCCATTTAGTAAATCCTGCAATGAATGATTCAGGGCTTGATGTAATCATCACAATGCCATAGGCATTCATGAAGACTCTGAAGGGCCTCACCACTTTCTATGGATAATCGTTTCCAATTTGACCCTAAGCACTTAGCACAGTACCTTGCACATAAGAGATGTTCGATAAATGTTTATTGGTGGAATGATTGACTAAGCTGGACATTGTCATGAGAGAGGCAAACTTTTTTTTCATTATATATTTTTCAATTGATATACATTTATTTTCTGTACCACCTGCCCCTTCTATGTACAGTGGGGAAAAAAAAAGAATAAGAAAAGCAAATATGCATAGCAAAGTGAAACAAATTCCCACACAGGCTATGTTCAGAAATCTATTTCTGATTTTGTGCTCTGAGTATATCATATCTCTGGTATTTGGTGAGGAGCACAGATCTACAACTGTGGTTGGTCATTGCTTTGATCAGAGTCCTTTAGTCTTTACAATGTTATTAATGTATAAATTATTTCTCTACTTATGCTCACTTTTTGTTGTTGTTGTTGAGTTGTTTCAGTCAAATCCAACTCTTCATGACCCTATTTGGAGTTTTCTTAGCAAAGATGCTGGAATGGTTTGCCATTTCCTTCTCCAGCTCATTCTACAGATGAGGAAACTGGGGCAAACAGGGTTAAGGGACTTGCCCAGGATCACACAGCTAGTAAGTGTCTGAAGATGGATTTGAACTCAGGTCTTTGTGACTCCAGGCCCAGGGCTCTATCCATATTGCCTCACCATGAACTCATGTAAGTTTTCCCAGATTTTTCTGAAACCACTCTTTCATCATTTCTTATATACCAGGGATGAGCAAGTCGTAATAAACTTTAAAACAAATACAAAATTTGATAGCATAGTAAAAACCTACTTTTCAGCAATCTGAATCTAGTCAGTGTTTGTTGTGCTTGGGGAGAACTCTTCATTCATTTTAGGAGAATACATATTTTCAAAAACATTGGCATAATTTGCAAATTCCTACCTGATTTAAATAGGTTTGACCATACAACCTTCTATTCAGTAAACTCCAAGGGCTCCATATCACCTCCAGGATCAAATGCAAAATCTTCTCTTGGTGTTCAAAGACCTTCATAAGCAACCATCAAATCCCCTAACATCTCCCGTCTCCCACAAACTCCTTTCCAGTCTTCTTACACCTTACTACCCACCACATGCTACTTGAGCCTGTGACACTGGCCCCCTTGCTATCCCATAAAGAAGACACTCCACCCAGCTTCCAGCATCTTCTCTGGCTGGTCGTCCTTCATGCCTAAAATGTTCTCCCTACTCATCTCTACTTCCTGACTTCCTTCAAGTCCCAACTAAAATTTCTTCTATAGGAAGCCTTGCCCAATCTCTTGATTCTAGAACCTTCCCTCTGTTAATTATTTTTTCATTTATCCCATATATAGATTGTACATATTTGTTTTCTTGTCTACCCCATTAGACTGTGAGCTCCTTGAGGGCAGGGATTGTCTTTGTCCAGTCCTTAGCACAGTGCCTGGCACAGAATAGACAATTAAATGCATACTGACTGACTGGCTTATTTGAACAACCCTATTTATCTTCCCTTTTGTCTCTGCACATCAGGCCTACTTCTTTGACAGGGATGATGTGGCTTTATACCACTTCAAAACATTCTCAAAAAATCAATCTGATGAGAAGCTGAAACATGCTCAAAAATTCCTGAAATACTTAAATAAGAGAGGAGGCCATATTGTCCTACGGGACATAAAGGTGAGAGCTAAACTTTATGGGATAATACAGAGTCAGAAACATAGAATGATTTCATTAGGGACCTTAAGGACTCTTACAAATAAACCTAATCTTTAAACCAGTTAATTTACAATTGTTCAAAACTCTACTAATGCTACCTGATTTTAACACTGTCACTTCACCTCTTGGCTATACCCAGCTTCTATTCTTTCCCATTCTAAAAATAAAGACAATAAATACATCTGCACATGTTAAATGAATATCACTCCCCCACCGCCTCCCCATAAGAAATTTAATTAGAATAATATATAGATTCATACATGGAAGTGACTTTAGAGTTATCTGGTCCAACCCACTCATTTTACAGATGTTGAAACTGAGACCAAAAGCAGTTAAGTAGCTTGTCAAAGGTCACATGGTTTTTAAGTGAAAGACCTAGAATATGAACCTAGTGAGATGTAGCCTTTTCTTTGGTATGTGACAGGCCGTAGCGGATAGAGTAACTGGACTTGGACTCAGGAAGACCTGAGTTCAAATCCTGCCTCAGACACTTGCTAGCTGTGTGACCTTTAGCAAATCACTTTAAACTCTCTCAGCCTCAGTTTCTTAATCTGAAAAACGAGAATGATAATGACACTTATATACAGGGTTATTGTGAGGATTGTCTGAGATAATATGTGTTAAGTGCTCTGCAAACCATAAAGCACTATATAAATGTTAGCTATTACTAGAATCATTTCTCTTATTATTATATAATAGATATCATAATAATGTTATAATAGATAAAGTATTGGAGTCAAGAACACCTAAGTTCAAAATCTATTTTGTACAGTTATTACCCCTGTGACCATGGGCATGTTCCTTTGCAAGGAACTCAGACTGTTTTTTTACTAAGTAATAGACCAGATGAGAATTACTGGATAGAGGAAGTTGCCACAAAAAGTGCCTACATCTGCTTTAAATTAGGACTGTATCAATCTGAAGTTCTAGGCATCAATCATCCAAATAATTCTCACACTTAGGTATAAAATATAAGATTGTAGTTCAAAAGACAGTATACTGTTCATGATTCTCAGTCATTCTCTAATTGAATTTGAATAGAAACCAGAGCGTGATGACTGGAGAAATAGCCTAGAAGTCCTAGAAATAGTCATGCAGATGGAAAAGAAAATAAATCAGGCCCTACTAAACCTGCACAATCTGGCAATGGAAAAACGTGACCCACATGTAAGTATAGCAATAGAATTTCTCTGTATCACATTTTCACATTTGATTCAGATTGCATTTGTATGATGTACATAGCCTTTACCTCTGAAACATTTCTTCAAAAAAAAAATCTCTGTGAGATCTTCAGTAAGGTAACAAAGGAATATAAGCACTCAAGGACCACAATTAGACAGTTAATTACTCATGGACATGCCAGCGTATGACCCCCCAGGCCTTCAGTTCCATAGGCAAGCATACACGAGAAAGAGAACACAGTCTCTGTGCTTACAGCTGATTGTTGTTGCTGACCTTATTCAGAGGACCTAGGTGGAAAGACAACATTAGGATCAGTCAATCAGTGGATGACCTGGGCTGCAACTCCCCTTATCTATCACAAGGGCATTGTGGTTCAGAAAGCTTGCTAACTTTGCATACAGAGATTAGAAGAAGTTTGCTAAACTGATTATGATCAGGAGAACCTCACATTCCTTGACTAAATGAAGTTGACTAAACCAGTTATTGGGTACATAGAAAATTCCCAGGTGATTCAGTGTGACCACTGAATCACCTTTGTCAGCTCAGCCGAGCAATAGGCCAGTTCTCACAACATCTTAAGCAACCTATCTGTCTTGACTTACCATCAGAGATGTCGATGAGAAAGGCAGTGTGTTTGGGTTATTTCTTCTTGGGAAGGACTCTCACAGGGCCAGTATTTCATTCCTTTCCTGTTTTCCTCTGAGTGTCCTAATAAAATCACTCCCTGGCACTGTACTGCACTGATGATCACATCTTCCATGTGATTTCTTGCTTTTCTATCTTCAGCTTTGTGACTTCCTGGAGCGGGAGTATCTAGATGAGCAGGTGACAATTATCAAGTGTCTTGGAGACTATATCACCAACCTGAGGAAGCTGGGAGTTCCTGAGAGTGGCCTTGGGGAATATCTCTTTGACAAGCTCACCCTGGGGGACAGTTGCTAAAATCTCTATATTCTAGAACAAGTCTATTCTTGCTGACATCCCACTAAGATAAATGTCCTGAAGGAAAATAACTTCTTTTGTGCTTGTAAATAAAGCTTGGTGTTTAAACCATTGTGGCCGTGGCTCCATTCATTATGTTATACATATAAAGCTGCCCTTTAAGAAAAAAATACCTCCATAAACTCATCTCCAATTATGTTAAGCCAAAATTATCTATTGAAATACAGTAATTACTTAAATTTTTCATTACTTGTAAGTAGCAAAGATTTGAGATTAAGGAGAAGTAATCTTCCTGGTTGCAACTAGGGAAAGGTCCTGGGCAGGCTTCCAAATTCCCTCAGATCTTCATAAATCATCAGAGGTAATTGGAGTTAAGGGTATTCTTGCCTAAAACAAAGGGATGGACTAAATGATTCTTAACTCCACAAAGACAGAAAATAACAATGATTTTCAAGCTTTCCCCTTAAATGCAGCACTTCACATGCCAATGAATCAGGCCTGCACAACCTGTGGCCTGCAGGCAGCTCACAGCCTTCTGGCCGTTTGCCATATGCCAAAGAATTTCCTCTATGTACAAAAGATGTTTTCCTCGACATTTTGCACACACTGCTGGAAATCCTTTGGTAAGTGAGCAGCAAGCAACCCGAGGACCATAAGTGGCCAGCCTCCTACAAGTTGTGCAGGTCTGCAATAAACAAAGATTTGCATAAGAATTTTAAAAGCTATGGAAAAATAATTGCATATTGTTGTATGCTGGAAACAACAGCACAATATAACTTTTACAGTTTAAATTAATGTAACCTTTTGTGTGCAAGGTGGATTTTGTCATTCTTTTTTAGATAATAGTTCCCAGTATCATAGATATGAGTTCCCAGGATCCATGGCCACAAATAGTTTCTACTACCAGATTTTACTACACTTGTGCTTGCGCATCATTGCATAACTTTGCAAAATATGAACATTTGTGCTTAAAGTTTTAAACATCTGCTGTGTGTGCTATGCTAAGTCAGCATAATATTACTAGAGTTAATGTAAACTTATGAAACTACTAGGCAAAATGCCTTCTTTGTTACCCTATAAATCAAGTGGGCACTGGCTAAGGGTTGCGGGTGTCTTTCCTCAACTCCTCCTTGCTGCCACCTCCTTGGAGTACTAAAGTGGTATGAATCCCCTGTCTGTTGCTCTATTATCTTTATTTGGTTTGTCTGAATCTACTGTGAACCTGGAGGAGCAGAGCTCCTGCCTTACACTTGGTGTAGCAATCCGGCAGGATCAAATCAAAGAGTGAATGGAGAATACAGGGAATAGGAAGGGGGTCTTGGGGTAGCCCTCCACTGACATGTGGTTTAGTGTAGTTAAGGTCCTAAAAAATTGGACTCCCCCCCCCCCCAGGAATGGAAGGATGTGTCTCCTAACCCCAAAGGCTTTGAGGAAGCCTTGTTGAAACTTGGACAAACCATTGACAGTAATGGAGCTAGAAGCGGAGCGGGGGGCTGCTTGTTGGCTGATGCTAACTGTTGTAAAGAAAAGTAATGACAAGGTGTTGTTAGTGGAAGCCAGTCTCTGGGAGGTTCAGGCTGAATTATTTCAGGAGTGGGAAGAAAGTTAGACTTGGGAGAAAGGCAGAGAAATGTTAGAAACTGAGACTAAAGTTCTTAGAGCTCGGGTGGTTACCGAGGAGGACGATGAGGAGGAGGAGCCTGAATTTATTGTAGGGTGGCAAAGAAGCCAGGCTTCCTCCTAAGAGTCTCCTCGGGCACTAGCCGAGTACTTCATGAAATCCTGCAATGACGCTGCCCTCACCCTAGGGCCCGAACCCTCTCGGGCTGGCACCTCAGGGAGCTTTTTAGACAATGACTTGAATCTCTGTTCAGGTTTCAAGTGTTACCACAGTTTCAGCAACACTTTATTTATCCGCTCATCTAATCTGCTCCTGTCTGCCTCGGCTGCTGTCAGGTCAGCCCACATCTGATTGCGGGTAAGTTTGACATATCCCTTCTGGGATCCTTTCCCTTTTTTTTCTTGCATGACTGGGTGGGGACTGGAGGCCTTACGTTGAATTTGCAATGTATTGGTCCCCAAAAAATGTACAAAGGGTGTCAGCATTGATAGATACTGGGTCAGAAAGCAATTTGGTGTATAGTAATCCTAAACAGTTTCCTGGGGAGGCCGCTGTGATAGATAGAGAGATATGGGGGATGCTCAATTCAGGTTAAGAAAGCAGCTATTCCACTGGGAATAGGAAGGCTGCCCCCTAAAGAATATGAGGTTTACATCTCCTCTATTTCCGAATACATCCTAGGTATCCACGTACTGCAAGGTTTGTGGTTTCGGACTTCCGTGGGTGAGTTTTGTTACCCTATAAATCAAGTGGGCACTGGCTAGGGGTTGCAGGTGTCTTTCCTGCGTGTACGTGGGGTGAAGGCAGTCACCGGGGGTTATGTGAAGCATGAACCGCTGTGGTTTCCGACCCCTCGGAGAGTTACTAATGCAAAGCAGTATCTTTCACCTAGATGGCGTAAGAAAATTGGAGAGACTATTTTAGAACTTGAGAAGGTTGGCAGAGTTCGGCCAACACATAGCCCCTATAACTCCCTTGTGGCCAGTGAAAAAGCCCAGTGGCTCTAGGCATATGACTGTAGATTATAGGGAATTAAATAAGGTTGCACCCCTCTTGCATGTAGTGGTACCTTCTGTGTTAGCCCTCATGAATCAAGTAAATCACAAGCTAGGGACTTATCATTGTGTTTTGGATTTGGCAAATGCTTTTTTCTTTACCCCTATTGCCCCAGAAAGTCAAGAACAGTTTGCCTTTTTGTGGAAGGTGGGACAATGGACATTTCAAGCGTTAACCCAAGGCCATTTGCATAGCCCCACTTTGTGTCATGGCTTCCTGGCCACTGACTTGGCTGAATGGGCCAAGCCAGAATATGTGAAACTGTGTGACTACATTGATGATATCTTGTTAACCAGTAACTCTCTTGCAGACTTGGAAGCTGCTGCCCCTACCTTGGTGGGAAAGAATGGGCAGTCAATCAAGACCAGGTCCAAGGGCCCGGCTTATCTGTCAAATTCTTGGGTGTTGTTTGGTCCAGTATGATGAA